CGTGCGTGCGTGCGTGCGTGCGTGCGTGCGTGCGTGCGTGCGTGCGTGTGTTCGTGTGTGTGTGTGCGTGCGTGAGGTAGGAGGTCACTGTGCGTGCGTGCGTGCGTGTGTTCGTGTGTGTGTGCGTGCGTGAGGTAGAAGGTCACTGTGGCTGCGTGCGTGAGGTAGGAGGTCACCGTGTGTGCGTGCGTGTGTGGCTGCGTGCGTGAGGTAGGAGGTCACCGTGTGTGCGTGCGTGTGTATGAGTGTGTGCGTGCGTGTGTATGAATGCGTGCGTGTAATTAAATCAAGAGTGCATCACAACCATCTTTTCTTGCGTGCGCACACAAACACGCACATACATTGTATATGCACTACGTTGCAGTTACAAGAAACCAGAGATGATCACACTGGTTAGGGACGCCAGCACGCTGCGAATGACATCAGACAGACCGCCATTACCCGCGAAACAAGTGAACAGTGGTGGCAGCTGCAGCGGCAGCGGCAAGAACGATGACGTGGTGTTGAGGAGTACAGGGAACCGCGCCTCTAGAAGCTCAAGGTCGTCAGTGTCGGTGCGTAGATCGTGGTGCCCCCTGGCGCGTGTTTCGTGCCTTGCGAATCACGGCAGTGACATTTGGGGAAAAGGTTCCCAGCAAATGTAAATTCGCGTTAATCGATGTGTCAGTTGGTTATAACATGGTATTTATTTCGGATGAAGCCGTATTAATTTATGTTACTTAGCATCGATTAGTGTTAGTTAGTATTAATTCGTGTTAACAATAAAAATAAACTAGTGTTCTTTTGTAATAATTTCTATTAATAATTTTGTGGTAATTGGTATTAATAAGTCTTAATTAGTATTAGTTCAAAGTATAAATCATCATTAATTGCTTCGCATCTACGCAGAGTCTGACGAGCAAGGACATGTTGTCTCGTCAGCTCTCCACGTTCCGTACGACGACCATGCGCGGTGCCATCAGGCTGGAAGACCTAGCTCAATACATACAGAGCAAGCGACACAGCAACAACGGCAGCAGCAGCAACAACAACAGCAACAACAGCAACAACACCTTCAAAGCAGAATTTGCTGTGAGTATGGAGTGTGTGTGTACGAGGAGGCGTGACCTAATCATTAGTTCTAATAATAATAATAAGAAGAAGAAGAAGAAGAAGAAGAAGAAGAAGAAGTAGAAGAAGAAGAAGAAGAAGAAGAAGAAGAAGAAGAAGAAGAAGAAGAAGAAGAAGAAGAAGAAGAAGAATAGCACAATACATACAGACACGTTCACGTACACGCAAATTACGCGAATAAAAAAAATCTAAGCTAACTTTCTCGTACCTTTATGAAATGAAATTCTATCAACGTTCTAAGAGGAAAAGGTAATGCTAAGGCTAATTTGTGTTTCTGATAGCGGTCTCCTGAAGCTCTCTCTCTGTCGTGTGTGCGTGTGTGTGTGTGTGTGTGTGTAGGAGCTGCCTCACGGACAGATATCGGACTGGGCAGTGGGCACCCGGCCGGAGAACCATTACAAGAATCGCTACATGAACGCGATTCCTTACGACAACAACTGCGTCACGCTGCAGTCCAACAACAATGGTTACATCAATGCAAGCTTCATCGACGGATACAATGAACCCAAAGCCTTCATCGCCACGCAGGTAACACAGCTATTTCACGTATAGGTAATTACAGGTATGTTCAGCTAGGTAATATTTATCCAGGTAATTCCAGCTTCATCGACGGATACAACGTAATGCTTACATTGCCACGCAGGTAACACACCTTGACCTATTACACGTACTACAGGTGATAACAAATAAATAACTATAGGTATAAATGCAGGTAATTACATGTAAACAAAGGTAAAAAGTAGTGCAATATTGAATTTATATACACATTTTCTACGGTAAATGTAAGCCTGGTACATATTATTGCATATACGTTATATATTGTTATAATGTTATATAGTATTTATCTGTTATTGTTTCTGTTGGCGTTATTGTAGACTGTGCATCGCTTCTGCTAAGCGTTCTTCTGTAATGGCGTTCGTTCCTTTCTTTTCGGCAGGCACCCAAGGAGAAGACGGTTATGGATTTCTGGCAGATGGTGTGGCAGGAGAGAGCTGTAGCTATCATCATGCTCACCAACCTGACAGAGAATGGCAAGGTGGGTGTTACGTGTTGTACGGTTGTTCACACTAATCAAACAACACGGTTTTGTGAGGAACACGATGGGTCGCACGTCTGCTTAGCATTGATAAACATGTGGCGCCATCTGTTGGCTAATCTGTCCATATTCGTATCACTTAACAGTGTGAACTATATAGTCAGCAAGCGCGTGTTACCTGTAGCAGATAAAAACCGGTGAAGTGCATGTCAGAATTCCAATACGTAATGCATGTGTAATTCTAGCAGGTGAGTATCAGTATCGATATTGCCAATATCTTGAAAATGTGTATTTGTAAATAGATTTGTATGTATGCAAGTATGCATGTGTGCATCATGCAGCATGTATGTATGTATGCAGCGTTTAGATGCACATCTGCTGTTACGTCTACCATAGCGTGTGCGGGGGTGTGCGGATGTTACTAGTAAGTCACTTGCAGGCCAAGTGTAGCCAGTACTGGCCCGAGGACACAGTGCAGATAGGAGAGCTGGAAGTGTCCCTCATGGCGAGGGAAGAACTCCCAGATACTACCGTTAGAACCTTCACTATAGTGAAGAGATGCCAGAGACAGGTGATATATTCCTTCTTCATGCCTCACGTTCTCTCATCTCATACCCTTATCATATCATTGGTTCTATACATCGATAAGAGGTCTGGTAAATGATGTTTGATAAAAATGTTGAAAATAAAGTTGTTAAGTTTTTAAAAAAAGCGTTCGATAATTAAACGAGTAATAAGAATAAGATGTTGAAAATATACAAGAATAAATTTATGTTCGATAGCACCTGCGTTTGAGTAATTTCGTATTTATCTAAATATATAAAGGTTTGATAATCAAGGAGTTACTTAACTAGTTGTTTTAATTAAGCCGGTAATTATCATCATTCACGTGCTGCAGTCAGCGAGTCATCTGGTGATGCACTACCACTACCACGAGTGGCCCGACCACGGCGTGCCGGACGACTCCGGCCCCCTGGTGGACGTCATCGCACACATCCGCGAGGACGTCAGGGTGAAGCGCATGGTTGGACCATGGGTCGTCCACTGCAGGTACCTAACGCCGTCCACCGTCGCCGATCGCGTCTCCCTCCTAGCAAGTAACAAAGCCGTCCACCGCCGCCCATCGCGTCTCCCTCCTAGCAAGTACCAAAGCCGTCCACCGTCGCCCATCGCGTCTCCCTCCCAGCAAGTACCAAAGCCGTCCACCGCCGCCCATCGCGTCTCCCTCCTAGCACGTCACAAAGCCCATATATATACATATAAACACATATATAAATATATATATATACATATATCCGCTTGTTTAACTAAAAGGCCTGAAAGTTATGCCTCAGAAAAAGGTTCCATCGACATTCGCAAGGTGCTTTACGAAATGTGCTATAAATTCTTGAAGGTTATAAATATTAAAGTGGAGCCGACGCCGACCGAGTCGTGTATATGGTTTCCATGTCTCAGCATCCCCCATATTCTTATATTGAAATATAACTACTATAATCTACAGCTGCCCTGTTGATATGGCTAATCGAGTAAGTAAAGCATAAGTAGTAGCTAGAGCTGTAGCCTATTATAAGTGGATACAAAAACACATGTTACCAAACTGCGCTCTGATATCATCTTACACTAACATGAGAAGCCTCACCGAACAGAAACAAAAATACTACCACGATCGACCACCCCCCCCACCCCTTTTTCCCCCCCCCGCCCCTTCTCGGAAGTCGAATAAAAATGCATCTAAACAATTACAATAATATATCTTAACGTTTAAATACTTGCATGCAATACAAATTATGACACCATGGGCCTAATATTCAACACATTCGCTTAAGAATCAATTTCGCATAGCAAATCAATCACGATTACCTCTCGCCTGACGCTTGCTGGTTGCACGGGAAGGTCACTACATTACTACAGCTTATAGCCAAACAGCTATACGAACGCGCCGTGCTGTTTGATAGGCTAATAGTGTAAAATAATGTAGAGGCCTATAACTTTTTATATCTCCTGACTGTTACACTGCCCTTACTACTATAGGCACCACGTTTTTTAGTCTGATATAACGGTACCATGCTTCTCCACGTAAGCCGTGCATGTGCTATCAGCATCACACACGGTAATATTGATTCCAGGTATATCCCTTGATCACGTACGTTAGGCAGAATCTGGTACTGATCCTGCGCAACAACAACACTTGTAAGCAGCCGTGATTGATGATCTCCTTCGCGAAGCCGAACAAAGCCTCTTTCTCTCTGCTCTGCGCCACACACTGCATCCATGCACACAACCCACACCCACACACCACTCCGCACACACTCTCTCCTTTCCTCCTTCTCTCTCTCTATACTCTCTCTCTCTCTCTCTCTCTCTCTCTTTTCCTACTCTCGGATCTCTTTTCCTCCCCCACTGTCTATCCGCCCTCTCTCTCGTCTCTCTCTCTCTCTCTACTCTCTCTCTTTCTTTTCTTCTCTTTCTTCTCTGCATACTATTTTCCGGCCTCCACGTCTTCTCCGCTCTCTCTCTCTCTCTCTCTCTCTCTCTCTCTCTCTCTCTCTCTCTCTTCTTTACACGCACTTTCACTGCTATCTCTACTCTATCATCAATCACTCACAAAGTTTACGGATTGAACTGAGGTCGGCTTGCACCTCGCGGACCTAGACAGCTTTCAGGCATGTCGACCGTCTCCTCAGCAGCTATCTGGAATCAAACACGCGCTAGCGCCCAGCACGCAGTAGATGCCGGCCTGCATGACGCACCGCCTTCCTATGATACACACATCGTTATTAATTAGTTCATAATCGGCTTTCCATTTCCTCGCTTCCTGCGAAATAGGAATGAAAAATATAAAAAATTCGACGGCAGGCTTTATTATATTATTATGTACTTTCATTGATTATTATTATTATATTATTATTATTATTATTATTGTTCGCTGTTGCTTGTTGTTGATGTTGTTGTTGTTGTTGTTGTTCGTTGTTCGGTGCTCTGTTTAGTTGTTGTTGTTGTTGTGGTAATCTCCATTTCTGTTATATTGCAAGTTTTCCCCAAGTTCAATACTCAGTCGTAATCTACTATGAACTTTCTAATAGCTATTATAACAGCTATATTAGCTTAATCAAGCGGGTAAAGTCGTATATTTACATGCCAAGTGTTATCTGTCACCGGGTCCCTTCATAAATTCGCCTGTCTTCACTCCACATATGCACCCTAGCTAGCCCAGTGCTGCATGGAAACGGCCTGACTGCTGATTAGACACAGCGGTTCGGTCTAGTCAGTTGAACTTGCGTTACTCTCAGAATGGCTCCTCAGTTCCGCCGCTGAAAACGGCAAAGTTAGCGTTCTCCTAGGAGCCGATTCATAAATGCTAAAACTTTATACACTGAGATGAATACAGCGAGTGAGAGCTACCACTGCAAGGAGAGATGCTGGGCAGCACAGTAAAAAGAAAAGTAAGGAGAGAAAAGGAGAAAGACGAGAGCGTGAGGATGAATGAAAGATTGAGCAGCGAGAGAGTGAATATAATATCATCTATATTAGTAGAGATATCGAATGATCTAATTAGTAATAGTGTTGGAGCATGAGGCGAGAGCAGAGTATTATTTATATTATGAGAAGGCAGAGATGAAAGAAAGAGCGAGAGATATGAAGAGAAACGACAAAGCGAGAGCGGGAGAGATGCAGAGGGACAAACACACACACACAGAGCAGGCACCAGGCCGCTGGACGTACGCTATCATCTTGCAGCAGCCCTTCAGCTTGCGGTTATCTTTATACATCGTGCCAACCGCCTCAAAACGGTCACCACCTGCAACTGTAACCGCCCGTAGGTGGCGACACCTTGCTCACTGCGCGCCAATACACCGCACATAGAGTGGATGCTCTGTAAACATATAACGTACTATATAAATAATAAATAGGCATATAATAAATATATGCTACTACCACTATATTTTAACCACTACTCACAATGTTACTTTATTTGCTTTTAGCTTTTAGGACATTTATGATTGCTGAGTACATATTAGCGGGGTTCATCCTGCGTTAAGTAGTTAGAGTTGCGATTATGTTCTAATCTGGGTTCATATGTGTGTTATACGTGTGTAACCATGTGGGATTTTTGCTGCTAACGTTCAGCGACGCTCTGTATACACATACTCTTAATCTCTATCTCATCTGTCTGTCATCTACTACGCGTATCTATCTATCTATCTTCACGCACACACACACGTCCACACGCGCGCACACACACATGCACGCCACGCACGGCGCACACGACGCGTACACACGCACGGCTCACGCAGCACACATACGTACAAGCACGCCGCGCCACACACACATTGCACGCACGGCACGGCGCACATTAACACGCGACTCCACACACACACGTCACGCACACACATCACGACGCATCGCACACACGCACACACACGCGCACGGCACCACGCCACCACACACACACACACACACACAAACACCACCCAACACGCACGCACCACGCCACGTACGCAACGCACGCCACACACACTTACCTTTCTGTTTGGTGCTGGGGCCACAGCGGGTTGAGCCATGGACATATATAGGAGACGATTGCCCTCGTAGACCATGCCTCCAGACAGTCTTCTACTGTCTCGGCCGTCGGCATCTGTGTGGACAAGCAGCCAGTGTTTCGTCGCCAAACACCCTGCCAGCGGTAAGCAGCACACCACACGATCGCACAGCAATTTCATCTCGAGAACCGCCAAGTTATTAAGCAGATATATATATATATATATATATATAGTATATATATATACTATATATACATGTATTTATATAGCTTCTTGATAATGCGATACTACTATACAAGCTTTTATATTATTGTTGGACGACGATGGTATGGGCGAGTGACGCATGTCTCGCTGCACTTAGTTAAATTCGGCCAAATTAATCATTTTAGAAACAATCCCCTAATTAATATGGTTAATATATCGGACTATTACCTGCTGCATGCTAGGTAATTGTGCGGAAATTAAGACTTTGTTAAATTCTGAATTAGATATTTGAAATTGAGATATAGATCTCGAGAATCACGCCCGCTGTTACACTTTTACCCGGGAATAGAGAACGATATTATCATGGAGTGAAGTAATAAGATTATGATATTAGAATAATATATAAATAATAGCATCTTATTATTAATGTCACTCTTGAGAATATTACGGTATAGGGCTTATGGGATAATATTTTGTGTTAACGGATCTGCTGCCGTGTCGTTCGTAGGCCTGTTCGATGCGATATGCATGCGTGTGTTGTTGCCTGGACGGGTGTGTGTGGTGCTGTTGG